AATCGAAGTGACCTTCAGCAAAAAGCTTTAGTCGCCTTTTCCATTCACTGTCCGATAAGCCAACTTTGGGCATATCTACAAAATTCGAATAAAAAACTTGCTTCGTTAATATCAACATCGTGGTCGTTGTTAATAAAAGTAAAAAATCCAGCTAAATATCAACGCGAAGTGAAAATTATATCATGATTCATTATTAGTATATAAAATATTGAATAAATCAGCAAGAACACAAATTTGCATATCATGAATATTCAAGAATTAATACCTGCAAAAACTCTATTCGACACTAAACGACAACGAAACAAAATAAACCCACTCTACAACACAAAATAGCCGTAAAAATTAACTTTCTTTGAAGATTTTTCGCTCAAAAAAGCACCACGAGGATATTTGTTAACAATCGCTTGCAAAACGACGCCAACAGTAACCACGGCAACAACACCTATGCTCGCATAACACAGGTACCCCAAATGCGTCTTTTCCTTTTTATTTGCAACAGGTAACCCAGTAAATTCTCCCCTCTTTCTCCCTCCCTCTTTCCCCCCTTTTCCCCCTTCGCAGAGAAGATCTTGCCCCAGTTTTTGCGCTAATTGTAAGCTGATCTTCTCTGGAACATTGGAACATTGGGATTTTGGGATTTTGGAACGCTCGGTGTCATCTTGGGGGACTGGATCTACCACTATTGGAATATCCAAGATGGCGGATATTACAGGAGTGAAATTTGTATATTCTTCGTGGTTTTCTGAAAGATTATTGAGCATTTCTTGACTATTTTCCCTGGGGAAGTAAATACAACTTGTAAGGATATTCCGAGATATATTTGTGTTGATTTTAAATAATAGTAAGTTGTATAAAATATCGAAATTGTTGCTTTCATGGCTGAAAATATTTACAAATTATTTACAAGTTTAATTGTTTTTTTGCTTTTCGCTCGTCAGCCTTTTTCTTTAGCCACTCATTCTTTGGGATCTGGCCTTCCTCATTTGGGCAATATGTTTGGCCATAATACTGCGAGTGGCCAGTTTCCTTATTCTGTGGCTGTCCACATTTCTTACATGTGTAGGCCAACCTGACTTTCTTGGGGGATGGAAGTCCTTGCGATCTGGCCGCCTCTGCTTCTTTCTGGAGGGCTTCGGCTTTTCTTTTTCTCCAAGCGGTGGTTCTTGGTACTAAAAACATAAATCTTATTTAGTATTTGCCTTTTTTAGGGAGATCAATGGTAATTATTATTTATTATGGATCATTATCTACTTACAATTGGATGGGATCCTTTGAGATTTTTCTACAATCACTAGCTCTGGATCTTCTGCAACAACACTTGTTGATGGTACCGATGGATTGGTAGAAACAGGCGGTGGCATCACTGGCATTGGATTTGGCTGTAGTTCTAGTGGTTCCGGTAGGGGATCATCTGCAGCAAGAGGTGGATTTGGAACTGATAGGCCTTGTAATAGCAGCTTGACCTCATCCACTCTTGCCTTGTTCTTGTACCTATGAAAAACAGTAAGGAAATGAACAATTTTATAAACTGTTTAATATGATAATAAATATGTAAATATATTGAACTAGTGTTGTATATATATATATATATATATATATATATATGTATATATATAACTTTTATATTGTATTAAATGAACACTTACCATTTGGAAATTGTTGTCTCATTAACTGGATAGAGTTGGAGATTTGTATTGTCGTAGAGGCGACTGTTGACGACAGTGTTCCTCAGGGCATTGTACCTCAACAGCACCACCTTCCATTTGGAAAGGTAGGGACTGTCTGGGCCTTTTGCCCTTTGTTCCACTGCCTCCCCAGTCAATCGTATCATGACTGCTTCTACGAGTCTACTTTTTGAAGGACATCGTGCCACTTGTCCACCAGTTACAAATGTTCTGAAATATATAATAAAAACCAACAATGAATCATTAGCTATTTAACTTATTGTTATTCTTGGAAAAGACTTGTTTGTAAGGATCACACAAGCCTACAAAACACAAATACACTTCTCAACGTTTTGAGCAAAGGCCCTTGTAGGCTTGTGTGATCCTTACAAACAAGACTTTTCCATCCACACCGCAGCCGACACTAAACGCCTCCCCAAGATGACGATTGTTAGCTTTGTTTTCCATTTTACATACCTTGCCATTGCCTCAGTGCCAACATGCCCTGTTTTCTTCTTCTTCTTCAGGAAGCGGCCTTTGGCTTTTTTGTAACGTGGACTAAACATCAAGGGTTTCTTGTCGTATTCATCCAAGTTGAGATAAAGTTGTTTGATTTCACCAGCCTGTTTGTTGGTAACGTGGCTGTCCAAAGCCAGAAGAGCATTTGCGAGTTTTCCAACTTTATCCCAACCTGGAATCCCTGATGCATCCAATGCTGCCTCGTCATCTTCCTATGTAAAAAAACAAAACAAATATATAATTATAATAACAAATGACATCTCAGGAGCAATGAGATGAAGATTTTAAATAAGTTCTCATTTGGATATTACCTCATTGCCGCTATCGCTGCTGTCTTCAGGATGTGCCACAGTTTCATCTGTCCTGCTATCTCCTTCCTCCTCATCACTTCCCATCTCAAACTCCCCAAATGCCTCATCTATTTCTCTGTCTAGATCTTGCACAGCATCTGGACAATCACCTGCCTGCAAGCGTAGATATTTTACCCCGATTACTTCTCCAGTGTATGGAGATGGAGTCGAAAAGTTGGTCAGCGCAGCCTCCCCGTAAATCGCTGTTGACAATGCATTCACCCTGTGCATTAGCGTGATGTCGAAACTTCTCAGCTTGTCTGCTGTCACCCTGTCTTGTACAGCCCTCTCTCTGTTCCACCTTGCCAAGCCTTCCACTAGATATGCTTGGAAAGCAACTGCACCAGCTGATGTCCCTAGTAGAGTAATCACAAAGAAAACAAGCCAATGATAAGTTTATACAGTGTGTCTAGATGTTTGTCATGCTATTTTTAAAATTATAGTATTTGATATCTTAAAATGGATATTTCTATTCCTTTGAAATATGCTCATCTTTGAACAGAACTATCCATTTCCAAACACCTAATCCCCACCTTATTTACCTGGTATGAACCTGTTTAAATGTAGGTGGAAACTTTCCAACGATGTGCTGCCACGGGCACATCGATACACCGGTAGTGTTTTGCCACCTTTCTTCAGTTCACCTGTAACAGTGTAAAGGCTTACACCTGGGGGGTCTTGAATGCATGGTACATGTTTTCGTTGCTCAGGCCATATCTCTGTTAACATTTCATCTCGAAAAAGAGGTACCCCAAGCACATCTGTTGCACTGGCCAGGGAGTTGAACAGTCCTGTCAACTGGCTCTCCGTCTCATCTGTACCTCTGGTTCGTCTTCGACAATGCTTTGCCAACTCCTTCTTCGAGACAGCATTCATTACAGCCTTGGCAGATGGAGACTTTATCCCATTTTCATGCAACTCTGCCCTCTTTGCTGCATAGAGTGCTTCAAGATCACTTTGATCCCACTCGAATATGCAACGGGACAGACTTGCCATGAAAATGCCATAAAGTGGATGGCTCTCGCTTGTGCAGCCGACTGCACAGCGCCGCATGAAATGAAAAATATCGAGCCTAATCAACAGGTTTGGCCAGGCATGGAACAGCAATTGATACTTCGATTCACCTTCCTGACTGCTGCAGCAGTCTCGGTCGGTGTAAAGAAGTACCGGTGGCTGAACACCTGCCCTTTCAAACCTGCTCATTAACCCATCTGCCAATGGCTGTAATGATGCTATGCTCTCTGAAGTTGTGACAATCGAGTTTAGCACCTGCCCCCTCTCATTGCCAACATTGGTCACCCAGCTAGCCGTGTTGATATCTATTCCCTGTAGCTTCCTTGTCATTTTCTTAGTGGAATCAATTTTTAGGACACTTCCTAGCACAGAAGTAGTGACCGCCTTCAGTGATTCCAGCCTGTTGTAAACATCTCTGACATAACATGCAAGAAACCACTTGGCCGTTGGTAGATCCTTCAGTTCCTTCGCTCTTTCGTACTCCACAGGAGGCTGTTGGAACTGCTGTGAAGATGTGCGGTGCCGTTTGCAGTCACTCAGATAGCTCACATATCTTCGCATCCATTGCTCACTGTGAAGCTCGCGGATGCTATTCTGCAAAGCCCCAGGGCTATTTCCCAGAGTCCTCGATCTTAGCAGTGATGTCACGGCTTGGTCACATGCGTACTTGTATGTGAGAACAACAGGAAATTTTAACCGTATCCCATCTGGCAAGCGTTCCAAGATCCTGTTGTCCCATGCAATAAATGTGCCGCCACAAGCCTTACAAGAATGGTATTCTGCTGCCAAATAATAGTATTCCTTTATATCCAGGACTAACCTCACTCGAGTGTATAGGCCCTTCGACTGCAGGGTCCTCTCAGGAATGTTGCATGTGGGGCATGGTAGTACAACACCCCACATCCTTTTTGGCATCCACAGGAACAACCGTCTGAGGAAGTAATTAGTAGGGTTGGGAACACCACTGGCATTAGGGGCTGGACTTGGAGGAGGATACCACCAGTTATTAAGCTTGGAGACCAAATTCCCCTTACTGGCAAACATTGCCTTGCCAATCCAACATTGGTCCTGATATGACATGTTCAGGGCCCATTGTTTCGGTAGCCGTAGTGACGTGTCATTCTGATTAGGTCTTTGGATCTGTCAATATAAGGGAGTATTGAGTTTTCTCTAACATTATTAATACCATGTGTGTCCTTTTTACAAATAACGTTTGCCCCGAAAATGCTCAAATACTTACTAGGGGAAATATAATTGCACTGACTGGGATTTGAACCCAGACCGGCTGCCATGACAGCAGCAATGCTGACCATTTACACCATCAGTGCATGTATTCATTTCTCCTTCTGTACTGTCTAATTACTGTATGAAAGCAATGTGATTCTGTAATCAAGAATTATAACTTTACCTTGTTTGTACTGTCAACTGGCTTTGACTGCTGTGGTTGTGACTCTGTAATCATTATGGTTGATTCACTGGTTTGCAACACAACTTCAGACTGAAAGAATATTTAAACAATATTTATTTAATAATGTTTCATGAACATGGGTCTTTGTTTCTTATTCATGAAAACATTACTGGTAATACTGTACCTGCAAGGGTTTATTAGCTGCAAGAGTAGCCTCTATACCATGAACTGATTCCAAAAGGTCAGAATCCTATGAAAAATGTTAATTTAACTTATATAGTTTACTGATGGAAAAGCATGCCAATTCAACTCACATGGTGATTTAATGTCAGTATGATTCACTATACTATTAAAAATACTGTTGTTACAGATACTCACGGATACTTGTTCGTCAGCAGTATTCCAGTCAGAGGTTTCCTCGTGAAATGCCGTTGATGTTGAAACTACACTCTGAAAGATTTGAGAATAATTCAATTAGATTGTAATTATGCTGTACCTGGTACAGCATTCACTATGATTCACAAACTAATATGGTACATGTTTTGAATGTAAAATGCCATGCAAATTATTATGTATTACCTCAGAGCTGGCCACATCTGTTCTCACACTGGTTGCAGGTCTGGTAATGGTCGCGGTGCTAGCCTACACAATAATCGTTTTGTATCATTTAATAAGACATTTTGCAACTCACTGTTCTTTTTACAGTGTAATTACATTACCTACCCCAATGTTCAGATGGAATGAATATATATTTTAAACTAAAATACTCACCCTTGCTTTATGATAGCCACAGGAACATTTGTTAGGATTGCCAAACAAGTCAACCTTGGCATGTTGGACAGGGCACTTCTTAATGTTCTCAATAGATCGTGCCCATTTTGAGTTCGGAGGTGGATTATTCCCTCTTCCAAAATCGAAGTGACCTTCAGCAAAAAGCTTTAGTCGCCTTTTCCATTCACTGTCCGATAAGCCAACTTTGGGCATATCTACAAAATTAGAATAAAAAACTTGCTTCGTTAATATCAACATCGTGGTCGTTGTTAATAAAAGTAAAAAATCCAGCTAAATATCAACGCGAAGTGAAAATTATATCATGATTCATTATTAGTATATAAAATATTGAATAAATCAGCAAGAACACAAATTTGCATATCATGAATATTCAAGAATTAATACCTGCAAAAACTCTATTCGACACTAAACGACAACGAAACAAAATAAACCCACTCTACAACACAAAATAGCCGTAAAAATTAACTTTCTTTGAAGATTTTTCGCTCAAAAAAGCACCACGAGGATATTTGTTAACAATCGCTTGCAAAACGACGCCAACAGTAACCACGGCAACAACACCTATGCTCGCATAACACAGGTACCCCAAATGCGTCTTTTCCTTTTTATTTGCAACAGGTAACCCAGTAAATTCTCCCCTCTTTCTCCCTCCCTCTTTCCCCCCTTTTCCCCCTTCGCAGA